ATCTAATGTTCAATCTGAATCCAAACTCTTCATTCTAAGAGACACCTGTCTGGTGTGAGCAGTCCCGACGTGGCCATGCGCTTGGCCAGAGTGACGGCACGATTGTAGCAGCGGTCCAACTCCTCCAAGATGAAGCCGAGGTCCGAATGTAAGAGGGGAGCAGCGGTAAACCTCCAGAACAAGGCCGGGGTGTACATCAGCACGGCCACCAACAGCAGGATGTAGGGGAAGAACTGGAGAGGACACGGGTTGATGGTTCATTAACAACTCATGTTATCGTCAATAATATGCAGCGGTTGATACAAGAGTGGAACAGAGGAGCTACACCTTTATGTAGCGGAGGTATACAATGAACTGTAAAATGTATTTTATAATGATAGGGATGATGCTGATCTTGGTGCGCTCCGACATCTGAAATCAACAAAACTGCTCGCCCATAATTTAATGTTACCTTGTACTTATACTTAAATACACCACAATCAACCAAATCACATTTACACACGGCATAAAAGTCATTGTTCAGGTGGAAGTTGTGTTACATAGTTCTTTGTGTGTGTGTTTGTGTCTGTGTGTGTCTGTGTGCATGTACCTTGTGAAGCCACAGAGGTAGAGTGTGTGTGTGCACGGCTGCCCAACAGTACGAGTCCACATAAACCGCCTGCCTCCAGGAGAAGTTCGTGGGAGCAAAACAACTGATCTGAGTACCTGAAAGAAACAGAGACACAACACAGACACACAAACATACGACTGAGTGAAAAGTTGTAAAAGATCAAAACTGATTTTTCTCTCCTCCACTGAGGAGCTTGTGTCTGTCAGTCGGCAGCTGAGACAAAAACTCCCCGAGCGCACTTCTCGTTTGAACACCTCCGTGTGCAGACTTCTCTCAAGGCTGAAATGTGAGTCGAGCTGCTCATCAACACTTTTCACACAGAGTTTTTGAAACTTGAATTCATGTAAAAGGTTCAAAGTTCATAGAACGATAGATCTAGTTTTTTTTCAGAGCATGTCTGAGAGCAGCTTAAGTCTCCTTCCTGGAATAACCATGTAGTCTGGACCTGGACCAGAACGGATCTGGTCTCACAACAGACTATTCGTTGTCTGTCTCTGTGTCTCCACTCACCGACTGAAACTTCTTGAGCAAAGGCCAGAGAGATGAGGAGGAGGGGCAGGCCCACTGCCACACAGGTCACCATCTTGTCCACAGCCAGCTCGGTGCGGACGCTGCGGTATCGAACCTGGTTCGGATCCTTCAGCAGAAAATCGCTGAATACGTACTCTGTAGCCACGTGGGCGATGGCCATCTCGCTGCTCCGCAGTTAACTGCAACACGTAAACAAAAAACTCCTGCAGGGACAAAAAAACAGGAAACTCTGATGGTCACCAGCTGTGGAGCAACATTTACACTTGAGTCTGGACCAACTCACTGTGGTTTGTCTGTTTGCAGGAGTTGAAATGAGGTTAAATGTTGATTAGAAACCACAGAGTAAGAAAACATCTCATGACTGTTTCCACACAACAACACACTCCTTTGTTTGGCTGGAGTTACAGTTCAGTGTTGTGGGAGGCATCACTGTTAGTTATGATATCGAAAAACACTGATGAGCAAACTATCGAATCAAATCTAATTTTATTTGTATAGCCCAAATTCACAGAACACATTTTGCCTCAGCGGGCTTCACGATCTGTACATCCTGTCGTCTGAGGAGTTTACTGAACATGAGTTGGATGTTTTAGGGAAAGTTTCTTTCAAAGCTTCAAAACTAAATAGAGACATTTAACTATTCGTTCTCACTCAGAGCACCAGACCATGTGCTGACCACAAACCACTCAACCGAGAGGCTAAAGATGTGAAACACTAGTTTAGGATTTGTAATTCTTTTATCTGACTCGTCAGAAAGAAACCGAGCGTCAGTGTGAGGTCTGAGAGCAGCAGCAGATTTACACGAGTGAACAGCAGCTGAAACTTTTCACGGAACAAAAGAACAGTGAGGTGAGTTGACGGTGAAACACCGGATGAGGAACCTGAACTCACCGGGTGCAGTCAAAGTGTCATGGCGGCTGTGAGCTCGAGCTGCGTCTGGTTTTCGGGAGACGAACCAGTTTGGATCCAGATTCACGTGAAACCAAGAACACAAGTTTTCAAACCGGTTTCAAAACAAACTTCTTCCGTCTCACACTAACTTCCGGTATCTTCACGTGCTAATCCACAGCTGGGATTTTCCAGCTCTAGTGATGCATTCACGCATCTCGTAAATTTGAATTTGAACATTAACAAAAAAAAACCCACACAACTATATATCAAATAAAACAAGTGGACAAACAACAAAACACAACAACAAGAACACAAAACCAAACGAACATATATTAACTCAAAACATACAACAAATGAACTTTGTATCTTCGTATCTGAACGATTTAAATCAAAGTGAAATCCAGAAGAACAAACTTACATTACTTTATTTTATAACCCCACATTTACTTTAT